TGTTCATACTGGACCGAGTGGTAGGTACTCGAGAGGGCTTGTTTGTTCATCCTTGGCCGAGTAGCAGGTACTCTGGAGGGATTTGATTATTCATCCTGGGCCGAGTAGCAGGTACTCGGGAGGGCTTGTTTGATCATCCTTGGCCGAGTAGTAGGTACTCGGGAGGGATTTGATTGCTCAGCCTTGGCCGAGTAGCAGGTACTCGAGAGGGCTTGTTTGTTCATCCTTGGCCGAGTAGTAGGTACTCGGGAGGGCTTGTTTGTTCATCCTTGGCCGAGTGGTAGGTACTCGGGAGGGCTTGTTAATTCATCCTTGACCGAGTAGTAGGTACTCGGGAGGGATTAAGTTTGTTAGTCTTTCAAGATTCACGAGGGAAAATATAAGACATTCCTTCAAGAGGGATTTGTTTCATTGATGTGGTGCCTCGATAAAAACCATCCCTCAGTAAAATCTCTTAACATTTTTATGAGGAAAAAACCTGGGAAAGGAAAAGGGTACACCAAAACAATTACATAATGGTTGTTAACTAAAGTAATGCTTCAAGTGTGTGACATTCCAAGTTCGTGGGATGATCTTTCCATCGAGTTCTTCGAGTTTGTAGGCCCCATTATGGAGATTGTGCCGTATTCGGAAGGGGTTTATATATTTAAAATATATTTTTATATAAAATAAAAATGATCTTATACATTATAGAATATTAAAATACTATTATATGAAGATATGAAAATTTATGCATATTTAATATATGAAGTCATTTGTATTATAAGAAGATATTAAATGTTATGAATATTTTATAATTATTTATATATGTTTTTAGTATAATCTTATACACGATAGATTTCTCGTACACGGTGAAACTTTCTTCTTTTATTTCGATTCCTTGATTCTTTATGTATATTAATACAAAATTAATATTTTAGTATGTTAATTACAATCTAAATATTTATTATGTATATATAATTTACAATAAATTATACATATAAATAAATATTATATATTTTAATATATAAATTATGTTAATTTAAAAATTATATATATATATATTTAATATATGAATTATATTTTATATTTATGAAAAATA